TTTCACTAGTGTTCTTCCACTCAAAGAATCAAACTAAGCTCTTTATTCTGCAACATTGTATTATTTCATTTGATTAAACAAATAACGGGTGGCAATTGCTTAGTGTCACACAATGATCTATTTTCAGTGATACCAAAATGGCATTAAACTGTGATTTAGAAGCGGTATTCGTTACGGGGCAATTTATGATGGCTCCTCAGAGTCTTCTGTTTATTTCAAAATGCCTTGTGGAACCTGTGAGGCCCATAACAAGTACTTCACTACTGCATTCCGAGGATTTCCTCAAAGAATGTAATTTTTTTTTTAATTGCCTATTTGAATCTCCTCCTTCAGCAAAAGCCAGTTGTATCACTACAGAAAATTTTTTCCCTACATTACCATTTGCAACTGGGCAGAGGAGTCAGTCTCTTTGGGGACAGTATTTCTCCAATGGGTACATCCTTTGCGTATGTCTTTTGGGCATATCAGAGAAATTGTTATTTAGTAGTGAGATTGCCAAAGGTGGCTCTTAAGTTATGTGTCTGCACCCATGCAAAGGGCACAGAGAGACAGCAGTAGACGGGAGACCTAAAAAATGCTCTGCCCTGGCTACTCCGGGGGCCACCACAGGAGCCATCAGCCCATAAAAGACCCCTCTCTCCACACAGGAAGGAGCACTGGGGCACAAGGGCAGGGGGGGAACACCAATAATGCCACCAGAGAAATGAGATCCCTCCCTAGACTGTCCCTGGTCTGCCCCCAGGGATCCTCAGCCCCATGGGCCAGGCATGACACCCAGCACCATGGGTCTAGGGGAGCAGCTTCCTGAAGCACCTCACAGACCGAGGGGTGTCACCGCCTAGGGATATGGGACACAATATGGGATGCAGAGGAGCAACATTTTGGGATTGCAGAAAACATATCACAAGGTGCTTAAGGGAGGAACCGCAGGTGAGGAAAGGGAGGGATCCAGGCCAGATTCTGGGTAGCCTGAGAGTCTAAGGACAGTTCCTAGGGGGCCCTAACATGTGCCCCTGTGCGTTGGCATCTGTGAGGGGGTACATATGGGCAGCTGGAGTGGTGCTGTGGCCTCAGGGCTTGTCCTGGTGCTGATGGGTGGGATGCGAGGAGCTGCTGCTGGGCAGACTGCGTCTGATCCCAGTTGGTCACTGCAGAGAGCAAGATGATGTATGTGTGTATCTACTACCACTAGCAGACCTTCATCCCGAACAGCCAGAGAAGGGAGCAGAATGAGACCATTGATGCCATTTGTGCTTCTGTTTTCATTGTCTATGAAGATTAGGAACAGAATTTTCAAAACAACATAGGCCAATGCTAAGCATCTTTACAAATCTTTAAGTTATGTGAAAAAAAGGGTTGAAATCTACAATTCTAGATTATGTGTATTTGTCATCATCTGAATTCTGCAGCCTAAGTCTTAAACTCCAGGATTATGTAGCATCATTATACAAATATCGTTCTTAAAATCCCTATACATTGAACAATGGAGGTTTTATTTACTTCAGGGAAGACAGATGAGTTTTGGATAACACATTGCATGGAAACTAAGGAGACAGAGACATGATTAGTATGATTTTGGTCAAATGACTTAGAAACAAGACATAGAGAACTTATCTGAGCTACATAAGGTATCAGCCAATGGGACCACAGTTGGCCCTTCTGGCCACTGAAATATTAATATTAATTAACAGACTTTCCTGTAAATTCTTCAACAGCATTTTCCATGCCACATATTCCTTACATTGTATGGTGACTTGGGCTCTACCCAAACCCCATCCAAACCCAAGACCGGGTCATACAGCCTGCTGGTATCGTATATGTGATTTAAACCATCATTCACAATGCTGCTACCAAAACACTATTGCTATATCACCTCGAGGACATCCTTGAGGGGAAAAAGGAGGATGTGTCTATGGAGGACTTCAGAACTGTTTGAAGGCTCTGATGCAAATGGCTCTGGGGTTGCTGAGGTAGTGCTGTCCTTCCCCTCTCTCCTGCTCCTTGCTCAGCTTGGGATACATGGATACAGCACAAGCTCTTCGGTAACACACTGCGAGGAGAAGAAATATTTCCACCAGCAAGGCTGAAGGAGGGCACAGCCTGCTTCCAGACCCCTTCTTGCTCTGCTCCTAGAAGAAACACCACTGTACTACTCATATACAGACCATCTTTACAAAGTGCCAAGCCATAACAACTCATCTCTCAGCTCTGTTTTGTAACTAGACTGTAAGCAAGGCACATGGTTTTTCCACTTAGTTTAGGACTCATGGAGAGACTGTGGAAGCGAACGTGCTACATGAAACTCTGGTTTTGCTATTGAGAGATAGATATATAGATATAACTGCACTGGAGTGACCTCACCAACCAGTACTCCTAATAAAGTCTTTGACAAACTATTTTCATCCTAAAATTCTCTGCAAGTCTTGAGTCTTTCTCAAGTCTTCAGTCCATCCATTTCTAGTTACAGCCCTGGAAACTTTCCTATCGATAGTGCTTTGGCAGAAAAGACAAGCAAAAATTTGATTTGAGATGGAGGTTGTGATTCTGACCCCAACCTGATGTTGAGGCATCCATTTAAATGCTACGTGTCTCAAAGCTATGTATTTCCCTTTTCTACATGCAGTACACTACTACCTGCAAGAAAGAATTACTGGTCTGCAAATTCACAAATACTTTTTCAGCAGAATCTTGACTACACAGTCCTTTATTACCTAAAATTATTTGAAGAAAGCGTCTCATGCATTATTATACTTAAAATGTCCTTTACCATCTGCAAGCATTATTGTAAAGATTTATCTCATATCACCTATGTCCTTGAGAAATAACATTTGTAACAACTTTGCAAAGAGGTACATTTAACTATCATTCCCCTACCTTGAAATTTTGCTTCATGAGGCCTATCTTAAAAAGGCTCAACTCCCAGGGCTTTTTGCCAGTCCTCTCTGCAGCCCGAGTTTTCATCTGCACCTGCCAAAAGGTTGATTTAATAGGGCATAATAATTCTTCTACCTTTAATAATAAAGACTTGTATATAACACTAGATTTACCTGGGCATCTATTTTTAAGTCTGTTTTAAGACTCATTTTTAATACGCCAAAGGACCTTCTGACAGTGAGTATGATACAAATCTGGCTATGACAGAAGATACTGAGTGGATCTCCTGGCAGCCTTGATTTTTGTTCCCCATCTTCCCCGTCCCTTCCCCAGCCAGGCACAGGTGCATTCAAAGGGCTGAATACTAATTGTGCCCAGGCTTACATTAAACTCTTCTGATGACTTTGGTGGAACAAAGGGCAAGCACAGAGAGAGGCTCCTGCATGCTATGCACATACGCAGAGATGAAAGTCATTGGGAATGGCCCAGTTTTAAAGCCTTGTTCCACCCACTCTGTGTATGACTAAAAATGCTATACTTTATGAGGGGATAAAGAGGCAGTAACTTGGGCCATGTGAAATCTCCAAGTTCTTGCTTAATTTCCCCTTGTCCACAATTTTTTCCAGCGGCAATATAACTTCTACTCTAAAGCTCTTTTTCTGAATGTGATGCTAAATGGCTCCCTCCTATCAATAAAGGATGCTGAAAATCTCTGGCCATGAAGTAATACATGCTATCTACCAAAGTGCCCATTATCAGCTTACTTGATCTTCTTCCTCCGTTCCACTATATGCCTGATAAGACTTGACAACACGTAACTTGAAAAAAGGAATACCAGCTACCCAGATCTATGTCCCTCTCAAAATCCGGTGACACCCCTTTCTCATTCCATCTTCTTCCTCTCCACTGCTACTGATCAGAGATACTTTGGAAGAGCGTGTGGTCAAACTCTGCTACTGTTGCCTGCCCGGATCTGCACTGGCCCCCCATTGCCTGTGGCACAGAAACACAGGAACTCATCAAACTAAAATGCCTGTGATTTTGCATCTTTCCATTGGGGTGCAACTTGCTGCTTCTCTGCTTCTGCCATCACCACTCTCAAAGGAGCGAGAGGTGCTCTGCACACAGTGAGCAGGTACGCCAAGCGCACGGCCATGGTGAGGCAGCAGGAGCAATCACTGCTGCTCTATCTCCTTCCTGCTCACCAGGAGGTATTTTTTTCTGACTTACCAAGGATCCCCCCTGATTTCATTGATGAGGCAGTAAAAGAGTCAAGTCCTGGTAATTAATGACCAGCCACCCAGCAGAAAGTCCTGGAGGTGCCTCTCTGTGCTCATCTAGAACAAACTGATCACGGAAATGTGCTGACGCAAGCAATCAGTGTGCGAGCTGAGCACCCGGTACAACGCACCTACAGTTCAGAGAATGGTTTTGATGTCTTCCTGATCTGCGTTATCGCATCCGATCACAATCACACAATCACTGTCTAGGGGAGAGTGTCTGTGGAGCTCCGGCACAGCAAGCCCTCTGAAAATCCTGAGGATTCGTGAGATCCGAGTCATTTGCAAAGCACCGGTGTGGTGCCATACAGTTCACCATATTTTACTACAGGGCGCAGCTACCTCCATAATCACAGAGGACACCGTTTTGTCAAGATCCCCGACTCATCACATTAATCAGTCGCGCACCGACCTTCCCCCTGCCCCGGCCCTCAGCCCGCGAAGTCAGCCTCTCCCCTCCCGGCACTTTCCCCTCTGGTGTTTACCCCCGATGCCCGCGGCGCTCGGGAAGGGAACATTTTCAGCCCTCGGCTTTCAAATGCCGCCCGCAGGGAAGGGGAAACCTGCCGGCGCGGCCCCCCCCACGCTCCCCCTCGCTACCCCCGGCCTCCCCGCGCCGCGACGGAGCGGGCAGGCCCCGCTCTGCCCCAGCTGCGCCCGGGCGGGGGCTCCGCTCTCCGCGGGAGGCGGCCGCGCCGGGGGCTGCCCGCGCCCCGCGGGACCGGGAGGGACCGGAGGGTTTGGGGGAGGGAAAGCCCCGCCTTCCCCCGCCGCTCCCACCGCCACAGGCCCCTCCTCCCCTGGCCGCCCCGCCCGCCGCACACATGTGCCCGCAGCCAGCGGCGGGGCGCGCCGTCGGGGCGGGCGGGCGCCGCCGCCTCCCCGGCACCGCCGCCTCCCCGGCACCGCGCACCGCGCCGAGCACCGCCGCCTCCCCGGCACCGCGCCGGACACCGAGAGCCGCTGGCCGCGCTGCCGCCGCCGCTCACCATGGCCGTCGCCTACCTGCTGGGCAACGGCTCGGCGCCGCTCCTGGCCGGCGCCCTGGAGGTGCCCTTCGCCGCCAACGCCTCCACCGCCTGCCGCCCCGCCGCGCCGCCCTGCGCGGCCGCGCCGCCGGGCGCCTGGGGCAACGCCTCGGCGGCGGGCTGGAACCGCTCCGAGCCCTGCGGCGGCGCCAACGGCAGCGCGGGCGGCGGCGGGCCCTGCGCGCCCGCGGGAGGCGGCCCCTCCGTGGTCACGGCCATCGCTATCATGGCCCTCTACTCCGTGGTGTGCGTCGTGGGGCTCTTCGGCAACTTCTTGGTCATGTATGTCATCGTCAGGTGAGTGCCGCCCCGCCCGGCCCCGCCCCGCAGCCCACGGGCGCTGCCGTCGGGGCGGACTCCCCGCCGCGGGGAGCCGGGGTGCGGGACGGCGTCCCGGTGGGCCACGCCACGGTCCAGCCCCGGCGGGCAGCAAGCAACGGGCCGCACTCGCCGCCGGGCGCGGAGGGGCTCCAGCCCCCGCGGGAGAGGGAAGGCGGCTTTTGAGGAAGCTCCGGAGCGGGCGATGGGGAAGAAAAACTTGCGGCGGGGCCGGGAGGACCGGCCGGGCTGGGAGGTCTGTCCGGAACCGCAGCGGGTCTGGGGATGCTCAGCGGACACTCCCGTGCAGCGGCATCCCCGGGAGCTGCTCTGGCCGACGAGTCCCGAATCCCGCTCCTGTCCGCCGAGGGGGGGGCAGGATTTAAAGGGTCTTCAGCCGCTGCCTGGGAGCGTGTGCGGGTAGAGGGCCGCGCACGGACACCTGGCACACATCCACGCGTCTTTCCCTCCCCCCACCTCTCCCACACGCACGAGCAACATGTAAATGGCATCGCGGCTAAACGCTGCTCTCTGCCCGCGTTTGTGGATCCTCTGCCTCAAGTCCTGATCCATACGTCTGTATTTATATACGTATGTATATATACATACGTGCGTATACACGTGCATGAATACTCCAGGATCGCGGTCGCGATCCGTCATCCCGGCTGCCCTGCAGCACTTCGCAACTTTCTCGCCCGCAAGCCCACCCTGGCTTTTACAGCCCGCTCACAAGAGTGTCTCTCACGCACGAGAAATCCCATGCCCGTCAACCGGCGGCAGGCGGGTGAGAGCGGGACTAAGCGGGCTCCCTCGCCCGGTGGAGGAACACTGCCACCTCCCGGGAGCGGCGGGGCGGGACGGGACGGGGCCGGCCAGCCTCCCCTTCCTGCGTGGCTGCTCCCCGCTTCCAAATCCAGCAGCGCCTGAGCCCTGCGGGGGGTGTGCGCTCCCTCCCCGCCGCGTTTCCCTCCCGCCCGGTTTCCCCGAGTCTAGAGCGCGTCCCTTTTCCCTCTGAACCCTGCGGTTCCCACGGCGTCGGGGTAGCGGCCGTCGTGCGTGGGTGCCGCGGCCGCGGGGAGCCGGCGGGCCGGAGCAGCCGAACTACCGAACCCCCGGGGCGAGGTTGGCGGTCGGGGTAGGGGGGCCGCTTCCTTCGGCGCCTCTCGGGGACGGCAGTGGCAAACCTCTGCAACTCGGGGACCCGGTGGGAACGCGAGCAACGCGCATCGGCGGGTCGGAGTAGAGTCGTGCAGAAACCCGGTGGGTTTAACTGTGCTGTAGAGGCTGCGCTGTAAATTCACAGAGCTGGGGAGATTCTCTTCTGCCCGGTGGGTTTGGCCAGTTCGGGACTCAAGCCATCTGTGTGACGATGCAGCTGCAGAAAAGCTCCTTGAACCGGGGCACGGCTGCGATCGGCTGAGCAGCGTTAAATGCATTCCTCTGGGAGAAAAAGCAGATGCACAACGTAACAGAGCCAGGCTAACTGTCAGCAGAGACATATGCCACAGGTTGTACCTGGAATTATATGTATTTATACTGGGTATAGTCCATATTAGGTTCATATTTCTTACATTAATTAATTGAATTACACTTGCACCACAAAGCCAAATTGAATGAGACGCATTTAGATTTTGATCTAAAGAGGGCATCTTTCCCTGAGATTACAGTTTAAAAACAAAATCCAGAAGCATTATGAGAAAGCAAAAATAGGTTTTCATTTTACAGAGGAAAACACAAATAAATGGCTTCTCCAAAACAATCCAGGAATTCTATGCCAAAGGCAGGACCGAACCCAGGTTTCCTGTTCAAGAACAGCCTTTGGTATGACAAAGTTCCTTCCCAATTAATATCACACAGCTGTTTACTAATTTGGGATGAAGAAAAGTTTACATGTTGATGGTTGAATAGGATGTGTGGTTTAAGCAACATAGAAATGCATTTCCCTTCTGTGCTTCTCTATAGGTTTAGTACATCTGGGCAGCAACAGGGAACTTTTTGATTTATTTCCTGTTGCAAGCTATACTACCATGGCAGTATTCCCAGTCATATAATATGCATATATGAAATGGTGAGCATGTGTGCTCACATTCATGTATCCTTGGATCCAGCTACAGACAGGAGACAAACCTTTCACCGGATTGAATTTGGCACCAGATAAAGCTCCCTTTCTTTATCTACCTTTCACACTGTACCTTCTCAGGAAGAACAAAACATCGAAGTTTGTATTCATTTTGAGAAGAATTGAGACTACTAGAAGTAAGTTTTTAAAGTGATACTAGTACCTAGTTTGCCTTGAAAATACTAGGAGTTGGGAGGTAGGTACTTAGATATTTGAAACTCTGTCCCTACTTACCTTTCAGAGTCCAGCCCCGGTGAAAGCAACGGTGACTTCATATTCAGTGTGCTGCATGCTAATATCTCATGCTTGGCTTCTTTTGAAATATTTTTTTACTAATTATTACATTATTCTTATAAACATTATTATTCTTACAACTTTTCTGCATGAAGCAGATCCATGGGTTTGGAGCCAGAGCCGTCCAAGCGCTTGCCTGATGTGGAACTGTCACTGTCAGTCCACAATGCCACCCTGTTATCCCAGCTGGGGCAAACAGGGGTCAGAAAATAGACATGTCCAACAGGGAGTTAGAAATGTATTGTCAATATCGATACGAAAATCAGGCTCTTCATGCAAAGCATGTCCATGGATTTCTAGTCTGTGTGCATGTTACTTTATAATTAATGCATTCTCATCCACCCTCCCCATTCTCCCAAATGGTTCCTGTTTAGCTGAATACTTTCATTCTTGAATTAATATTTACGTGTTATAACTGTAGTGTGTGAGGCTGAACCTCATGTTACCAACACTGAGCTGCTTCCTTTGTCAAGTACAAAAAAATGCCTTCTGAGTGACAGCAGTAATAGTCAGGTTTTACTCCCAGCCATAAATTTCCTGTAATCTGAAAAATCTGTAGATAATTTTTATTATCTGTTTTCCTCATGTGCTTTGTAGAAGTGTAAATTACTAATATGAACACGGTGTTATTATGGCTGTGTCAACAGCAAATGCTACTTCTAGCTACTGCAGAGTACAACAAGACAGTGTACAATTAGTACCATGTGGTATTGAATTAATTTGCACAGTAATCTATAGGCTTTTCCAGCCTTCTCGTCTAGTCAGTGGGATATTAGTCACACTTCAGAGTGGGAAGAATATGCCCTGTGATTAAGGCAATATGCTAGAAAATTGTAATAGATCATAGATTAAAATCTTCAGCATTGGTGGTCTGAAAGGGAGGAACAGCTCTCGGAGGTCCCAGTTCTCCATGATGCCTGCCAAGTGGCTGTAATTCCACCAACTGCCGCTCAAGTCATACAAGTCAAGAGTGATTCCTTAATTGCTTTGCTATTAAATTTGTCACATATCATAAACAAAGGTGCCTCAGATTCTCTGTGATCCTTCACAGGAGGAAGGAAATGTCGTTTCATTAGAGTAAATGATTACTGTGCTTAAAAAGAAAAAAAAAAAAAAAAAAAAAGGAAGGGAGTCCTCTCTGAAACAAAGAGATTTCTTTCTACAGTTCTCAAAACAGCCTCATAATAGTGTTTTGAAAAAAAAAGCTGACTGAAACATCATCTAATCTGGAAACACTGTGCAGTACTGAAAGCTCTGGTTACTTCAGCTCATTTCGCTTAAGGAAAACTCCTTTACTAAGTAGAATGGAATTTGGGGTGAAATTTCAATTGTAGAAAGAATTGATTTCACCAGAGGAATAAATATTCTCATACATGTGCACAGAAAGGTAAAAGTGAAGGATTTGGAAAGAGGTCATAACATATGGAGAGAGTCTGTTTAGAGAAATAAACTTAAAATTATCACAAGTTTGAAAGTGGCTGAAGCAAAGCAAGTTTTTTAGAAAAATGGGGGTTTTTCTCTACAAGGCAACATAGAATTATGGATGCAGTGTGAAAGAATGCCTACAGCATCTCTTAAAGCAGTGTTGATCAGGAAACTTAGAAACAAAGAAATGCATAAAATTCGTTCTTTGCTGTCCACAGCTGCATGAACTTCCCTGCATCTGGATAGCATTGCGTGTGCTAATATGTGTCCTGCCTGTTCCGCTGTCTGCAAAGGAAAGGTTCCACCCCAACTCTAAATGCTGTTAACTAAAGCCACAGCAGCCTTAGCGGGTCGTGTCAAATATGAGTTGACACTGCTCACCAGCATGAGTCAGAGAAGATCTGAGGACAGAACTGAGGGTGTCAGGTTGGGCAGGAACAGCACAGAAGCTGAATTAAATGAGCGGCATAGTGAGGGGGTGACCCTCAGCATCCTGCGTTACAGAAAGGCAGGTGTCCCTGTTTGCACACTGTTTGTGACCGTTTACCAACCTTTGCCCGTTGGTAAATGTTTGATAAGCAAGCAGCTCCCCTCCCTCCCCCAAGGTTGAGGGAAGCAGAGAGATAAAATGGCACGTATACCTTTGTATTCTCTGTTTTTTTAATACTGACACGGTCATGGTCAGACTTTGGCCGAAAATACATTAGCCTGGATCCTGGGGCTAACCCCCGTCTCCCTGAGGGAGCAGAGGCAACTGCAGGATGAGTGAGAGCTCCTCAGCCCCCGACTCGCCTCCAGACCCTGTGCCTGGCCCCGGTCCCAGCTCTCGCCCGTGGGACAGCACGCCTGCCCCGGGAGGGCAGACCCCCCTGCTCTGCTGGAGGCTACCACCAGGCACTTCTGAGCGGAAAACATCCCCTCTCACTCAATTTCTCTTGAAAAAGCTGGTTTGATCCCACTGTATTTTTCCTGGAGCAGCATTTTGGTAATAGCTCTTTTTTTTTTTTAATTTCCTTATAAAAATAAGTCATATTATACCAATTTTTCATGGCTTAAGTAAAATTAGAAAATAGTATAAGCACATATTGTTTATATTATGTAAATATTAGCAAGCTAGTGACTAATGAGCTAACTAGTTAAC